TGTAATAGCACCTAACCAACAATGCTGAAAATGGATGCAAATTATCCTCCATTTCACAGGACGCCAGAAAGTACTGGAAACTAGGGAAGGTGACAAGGTCACAGCTAATGGTGGCTTTACTTGGGAGTCAAAGTTCATTCTTCTTTAAAAATATTATTTGCATATGGATGTCTGAGTGTGGGTTTGTACATGTGAATGTATACATAATATAAACATATATTATATATTACATATATTATAGGTTCATAATAATAAACATATATTATATCATATATCACATAATATAAACATGTATCAACTGGCTTAAATGTGACATGGAGTCTGCATGTGGTTAGAGGGTATAAAGTCCTGTGGGTGAGAAAGAGACTGATCCAGAAGGCCTGAATCACGGCACTGGATTACAGAATGAGGAGAAACAATGTGGAAGCAGAGAGGCAGGTGAGGGTACCGAAGAAAACCCCTGCACAAAGCAGCGGCAACTGTGTTTCCTGATAAAGGTGATAGGGACCCATGGGAAGAACACTTGATGAAAAAAGTACTTAGGTTACATACTACGGAAAGATATGGAAAGGGGACCAGATTCAGATATAAGATGATATCTCATTACATCACCTAACATTACATGGGTATTTTCATACTCAGAAAATTAATCATCTATTACTTATGCTCCCCTTCGTTGGACTATAAAATCGTTGAGTACAGTAAAGGCTTGTGTGTGTGTTCATATTCAAAATTCTAATAATTATGATTGTTTTGAGCTCACAGTGAGATGCACAATAATTCTGGGTACTTAGTACATATGCTGCTAACAGCAGTAGGATCGTGTAATGCAGTTCAATGTAGAGAGGACAGAGAGGGGAAACTTTAGAACAAGGATTCCCCAGTAATAATGTCACTAACATTTCAAGCCAGACATTTTCTCTGTTATGGAAGAATAGCTTGTAGGATGCCTGGAAGTTTCCTTGATCTCCGTCCCTTAAGTAACACAAGCAGGGCCCTGCCAGTTGCAAGCACCAAAAAACGTCCCAAGCATCACCAAATAGGTCCTAAGGCAAAGCTGCCCCAGGTGAGACCCACTGGTTAAGACATTAAGACAATTCTGATACTAAAACAGAATCTCAGGAGGACCTGGATGTATGGTGGCTGGGGGAAGGAGAAAGAAGCAGGCTTAGGAAGGAAACAGACCTGGTTTTAGATACATTCAGTATGAGACATTTGTGGGATCTCCTAACAAAGATGTGCAACAGGTAGTTGGATGGGTGGGTCTGTGCGCAGCGGAGACTTCACAGGTTAAGAAGTGGGAGTCACATGCACATCTATGGGAACTGATACCACGGGACTAGATGGATTCACTCAGGGAGACAGGGGTGTGTGTGTGTGACTCAAGGGCAAGGCAGGAACTCTACAGAAAGCCAAGGGCTAAGGGTGGCACCGAATTATTAAATAAGTCTCTAATTAGTTGAGAGGGACGATCAAAAAGAAGTATGCATCCCAATATCTTTCTGAAATGAGTAATCTCGCTACCCTCTATGGCTCGAGTGGAGGCTAAGAATAAATGTACCACGTGCATAGAGGTAGTCAGTAAAGTATGTGATGACCCGCTCCTGGGTTACAAAGAGCCTTGCATGCATCGTTTGCTGAATTTATTTCCTTTCAATGCTTTCAGTGTGAATGTAAAATAAGGCAAAACCTTAAAGAGTTCCATAATCCTATTACCCTAAACTGGAAACCCTATCATGCATTTATTAGCAATATTATTTCACCACCTTGTCATCAGTGTTCAAAACCAGCAACTGCAAAGGCAGGCTCGGGGGAAATATAGCTGCTGCATATAGAGACGTAATCTTGAGCTGTTGATGAGGTGCTGCGGTGACAAGTCCTGGATAAAATGGAATGTCAGGGAGCAGCAGACAGAAAGAACTTGCCGGGTAGAAAGCAAATCTGATAACAGGAAATAGTACTGCCTTTGGCAGGAAGGTCAGAGAAGTGGGAAGATGCTTTCCTACAGGCGACATGATTTCCATGGAGTCACAATGCTAATTGCCTACAATGCCAATTATGGCGGAAAGGCACAGATGAGGGCAAAGCCCTGCCAAAAAAAGGGCTCAACGCCGAGAAGACGGCCGGATGCTTTGGGTAAATACCGATTACCTGGATACAAGCTAGCTACCATGAGAGAAAACACTGCGCCCACAATGCACCACTGGAGGTCCACCCCCAAACGATGCTGATGGTTTTTAGGAGCGGGATAACTAAACCTTTCACATCAGACTGCGGGAAACACACCTTCCACCCTGGTGCTGTCTGTGCTGAAAGTCAGACAATCGATGTCCCTGAAATGAGTTCCCATCCCACTCACTTGTCTGCTGGGACATTTATCACTGTGACACAGAGACTCCTGCTCCCCTTACCCCCACCCCTTGTTTACCCTGGCATCCACAGGTAAGGTAAGCCTGTTCACCTTTTCCCCATCCTTGGCCACCGTGAGGAAAGCAGTTAAGAAATGAGTCTTAACTGTGGCTGGAGGCTTCTCGACGCCGTCTCCCGACCAGCTGCAAAGAGCGTCACAAGCAGAAGGGCTGTCAAACTCCGCTTTAATGGGCACTCACATTTAATGTCAAGCTGATGCCTGTGGAAGACCTTGATTAGATCTGCAAACGGCAAACTAACCCAATGAGAACTTTAGAGTTGTCTCGTTTCATCTTCCAAGCTTAAACCCGTGTGCTTCTCGGCAAAGAACGACAGAAATTTGCATATTGTGGCACTGAGCATCAGTGTGGAAGCAGGATAGGGTGAACAAATACCCTTGCATGGCTGGACAGACCCCTCAGCTCATTATAAATCTGTATGAAGTAAAGATCTTCCCCAATGCTTTATTCCATCCCAACACATTAAAAGTCTGTAACTGTTCTCTCTAATGACTATAATATTATAGTAAGCCCTAATACATTTACTTGAATTCTTGTAGTATTCTTTTATGTGCATGACAACTAAGAGCCTTGTATCCTGTGGGCAGGATGAAGACTACAGAGTAACATAAACGAAATCCAGTAGTATCTCCATCAACAATGCCATCGCTCCAACAGCGACAAGAACCCCAACTTCTTTTTTTTCTTCAACTGTTTCACCTGATAAGAGTCACACGGCCTTATTTTTTTTTTCCACAGTAACAATGTGAAATACTCAGATTTTTTCACCATCTGCTTTTTGGACGGGCCACCATCTTTTGTTTTGTTTTGTTTTTTTCCCTTTGAGTTCCTTCTACATCATCCAATTCAAACAAGTCTGCCTTCAAGAAAACAAATCAAAACTGTCGAGATCCATGAAGCATGAAAGAAAGAATTGTTTTTTCCAACCTTCCAAAGCAGCAGAAAAAATATTAATTTCCATATTCTTGTAAGCCTCTAACTTCTATACTCTTGATCTACAGACTTCAAAATTTTACGTATTCTTCTGTATAAAAGACGGCTTCTTACTGGGATACTGAACTTGCAGCTGAGATCTAGCATTATTCGGAAATTTGACTAGGGACATACAAGACATTTAAGATGACATATATTCTTGAAAATGTCATTGAATAAAAAAAACAGGCACTAAGACATATCTGCCATTCTGTCCATGGCCTTATCCTTCTGCCTCCTGAAATGAGGACATGAAGCACCAGCAAACGATGGCCCCACATAGCACTGTCACCTATGGAGACTAAGATTCCTTCCTCACTGAACTACATGCGATTGTGTACAATGCCCCCTTATTGCACTACAAGAGACCTACGTTTGGATGGTCAGTGTTCTAAAGCTAACTTAATTCTGCGGTTAAACCCAGCTCCATGGAGCACTGGACCAATAGATCTCTGCTCCTTTTTCTATTCTTTCATAAGGATATAGCACATCGTAAGATTGAAACATGGTACTCCAAACATTTTCAAATACAATGTCTTTTCGAGTTAGATTCTTTTCCAAAGAAAAAGGACAAGTACTCCCTTACCAGAAGAAAAGACTGAAACAGATTAATGGGCTTGTATTTTCCACACAGTTGAAAACAACCCTTTCTCTTATATAAAAGTCCCAGCTCCTCTAGGTGAGTGGAGATGCAGTGGGGGAGTCAGGCACCTAGCAGATGGCTCTGATGAATACTGTCCTCATGGGCTGTCCGGGCCTACCTCACCTCCTTGCCAGAAGCAAGCCAGGACCAGGAACTGCATTCATTCACTGTCTGCTAAGCCCCGCTGTTCGCATTGAAAAAAACACTAGCTACCAAATTATTTGGTAATCCATACCTTAGATTTTAAACCTCCTTCTTGCTTTTGTAAGAAGCCAGTGGGAAAGAGCAGAGATGCGGAGCGCTATTACTTATCTAACGGCCTGTCCCTGAGCAAGTAACTACAGGAATTCTGTCTCTCCAGTCCTGTTCACTTCAGGGAGTCTGCTGCCATTCACAGGACGGAGCTCTTCTGCTGACAACAAGTAACAAACGGGCCATGGAAAAAAGAAAGCGTTTCTAATCTTCATTGGTGAAAGCTGTCTGGGGCAATGAGGGGATGAAGAAAGGGCAGAGCAGAGGCGCGTATGCAGAAAACTCGGAGCGGGGGAGACTGGGCTTGCTTAGATGGAGTGCATCAACTGCAGCCACAACCAGAAACGGTGGTGAGTCCGAAGTGAGGAGCAGGGTAGCTGGTCTCGGTAGACGGTCTCCACAGGACAGCAGTCCCAAGAAGACACCCCAGATGAGGAAGCTGGGCTTGGGAATTTTTTGCGCACACTTACAGCATTCCCACTCAGACCAAAGGAAGGCTTTGCCATTCTCATGAGTTTCAGTCATCGGTGTCCTTGCCATGGCCGTGCCGTGTCAACAATACACATCCACGCGGGACTTTATCCACTCCTTATGCATTCATTTGGAGCCTCCTCTGCTCCCCATACTGACTGACAGTGATGAGTATTTCAAACAGAGAAGTGATGGCTAGCTTGCTGTGAAATAAGATCCCAATCACACAGATATAGTCATATACATGTTCATATTTATTAGCAAAAATGCTCCAAAAGAGGACTGGGTCAAAATTCTAATATGTGAAACTGGTTTTAGTTGTATTTGCTGCCTCAGAACTTTAGTCACTAAGTTCTGTTTTAATTTTCTGAAACAGGATTCAGATCAAAATATTCAATAAAAGATTTCAACAGAACACTGTCTTTTATCATCATGTCACAATTAAGGTAGAAGCAAGCTTGCTTTGCTAACAAATGTCTGTACATGGAATAGGTGGGTAGAGGAAGTTGTTCAACAGCAGGGCTTTAAAAAGGCAAACCTTACAAACAGGAATGCATTAACTGGGGGGGAAATGTACTGAAGTGGCCACATCAATTACTAAAACAATCTTCTAGGTCCTCCAGCTCCATTTCCAGGGAGGAGTTTAGAGAGGCTAAGGCAGACGATGCATCCCTCGCCTTCTGGACACTGGGTTTGGGCTGAGGAGTTTCTGGTTGGCTGAATTCCTTCTTGATGTCTTTGCCACCAGTTAGGATCCGCTGGCTTTCAAGGAAGAACTGATTCGGATGATTCAAAGAAAAGCCACAATCCTCCACCTGCCCAAGTAAGCAAATTTAAACCACATTAGCACACAGCAACGCTAGAAATAAAGCTTCAAAGGCTGTCTCCACCCCCACCCACAGCTGAAGGCCCACGATGTGGATCCCAGCTATCCCCATCTGAAATACGCAGCCCACTATTTACCCACTTCACTCAGTGGAGCATCCGCTGAAGCCCACAGACACCGGAGCTAGTACAGATGTACGCTCAGTCCAGCTCTCTGCAGTTGGCTGTTCTTTCTATCCACTCCATACTCTCAGCAGAGCAGAAAGACTCAAGACAGCTACACTCCAGCCCCCAGCCACGTTCACAGAACTAGATCACCATTCTGTGACACGCTGGATAACAACTCAGCCCTCCACACCCAATGCACCCTCAATTTTTAAGAGTATCCACATCAGCATTCTAATGTCTGTTAATGAATACTCATGATAAAAATATGTTCCACAGGGCTGCCTGGATGTGCAGGTCAGGGGTAGAGCCCTTTCCTAGCATATGTGCCACCTGGGTTCCGGCCCCTGCACACTAGAAACAGAGTTTGGGAAACACACCTGGGCACGTCTGCGTGTTAAAATGGCCACTAGTGATGCACAGGCCACTGCTGCCCTAGCCCTAAGCAAAAGGCTTAGCACATTTCTGACCAAGCTTTTCAAAGTGGTATAAAATCTCTTTGATCACTTTGATACTGGTTCCTGGGGCCAGTGTACTTCAGGGCTTAGGTCTGGTATATGAAATCTCATTTGGTATAATTAGAAGGCCGAACAAGCAATCTTACTTAATGTAACTTCTCCATGTTAATTTGGGGCATCCTGTGATCTGTCCTGTGGAGGAAATCTTTTAAAATTTTAACTGTAACTCAGTGGGAACCTAATAGTTTATGCTGCTTCTTTTCCTCAAATACTGAACTTCAAGTATTATCTCACATTGCTCATTATTCTGCACCTTTCGAACACCGGAAATGGAGGAGCAAAGAATATCATTCCCAGATTTTGATTCTAAAGTTTACTGATGGTGAAAAAAAAAGTTTTCTTATCAGCAGCAAGAACTTACTGTCCCCCATGCGCCAGGTGTCACAGACACAGCAGCCGTGTGCCAGGTGTCACAGACACACTCTCCGTGCACTCAGCTAGAGTGTCAATATTTTCCAGGATTTTTAGGTAATGCAACTGAAAAGGAAGGTTAAGGATTGTGCCCAAGATTACACTACCAAGGATGGGCTATATGAATGACTGTCCTTAAGCCAAGGTCAAAGTATTGTGTCATATATACAATAGTCATTCCTGAGAACTGCAGTCTCTTGTTTTAGTGATTCCTCAAAGATGTGGCATAATCTAACAGGGAAATTTTCATTTCCAGTGTGAGTGTTCAAGTTCCTTTCTTCATTCTCAACCACTGGGTCAGATTACTGCGTCTATGAAACACAGCCCCACAGCAAACCTTATCTCCTCATCTGCAGTTAGCGGTAACAGCAGACACCACTTTGCTTGGTTTTAGAAATGTGATATTTTCAGATCAGAAACTATTATGCTATGTCTTTTTATTTATCTTACTATTCATCCATTTATTTATTAAAGACAGTGTCTCTATATTTCTGCTGTATTAGCCTGGCTGGCCTTGAATTGTAATTCTCCTGTTTCAGGCTCCTGAGTAGCTGAGATTACAGGTTTGTGGCCCCATTTTTGGCTTTTGCCATTTTTAACACTTCACTATGTCTTGAGCTGGCTTGTACAAAATAGGTATCTCATAAATATTTACTGAGTTGAGCCCAGAACAGGTCAGTCATATATCTCACGCCTTACTGTATATGTGGCTGTGTTATAATCAGTAGTTTTCCAGAACACAAGAATACATTTGACTAAAATTAGAGCTAAAGAAAAATCACAGCCCAGTAATTCATAAGTTGAAAAATCATTTCCAGAAACTGGAAGTGTAGGGGTTACAGATAAAGGCCATCACTCCGGCGAGGCAGATCAAAGGAAGCTTTGTGAGAAGTGCTCTTTGAGGCGGGCTGGCAAGATGGAGAGGGCAAGAGGCTGGGATGGGGAAGCGGCCAGCACAGGAGCTGCACTGGTACAGAGCAAAGGGGGGGTGGCACAGGTGGTACAGAAGGGGTCCCATGGCCTGGTATAAAAGGCGCATACAGCGATAAGAAGAAACAAGGTTATAATGACTGGCAGGGATCAGACCTCGGAGATCTCAGGAAGCCAGGGTCTGTCTGACATAGTTCTCCAGGCACAAGGGAGGAGATGAGTGTGACTGGATCTGTATGGAATCTTATGGTGGGCTAATCCGGGCTGGTAGTGAGAAAAGGAGCTGCTGTGGCTCTGAACAAACTCGGCGGTGGAACATGCGCCAGAAAAAAAGGGGGTTTCCTGCTAAGTCAGCACCTCCAGATATCCTGGTTCTTTAGTCGTAAATCCACACAGGGCCAGGAGCTGTAGGACCATTACTGTGCTAAGTGACTGGCTATTTGTATCCAGGTTTTAGAATTATTACACAGATCACCAAGAAAAAAATCTTTATCTTTTTTACAATGGGGCTGCTTAATTTGTGTTTCCTCAATGTTTTATGATAAGTTTGTAATTTTATTAACAATGGCATAATTTGTGAACTTCTTTATCTGATTACACCCAATTCCTGAAAAACGTGGAATGTCTCACAAGACATTTAAACCTTTCTGAAATTAACATATAATAGAAATAAGTTGAACACCACTGTTTACTATAGCACTATGCACAATAGGAAAGTTATGGGACCAACCTAGCCTCCAGCAACCAGGGAATGGATAAAGAAAATGTTGTATATATGCACACAAGGGAATATTTTCAGGCATCATGAATAAAGCTATATCATTTGCAGGAAAATGGATACAACTGGAGATAATCACAATAAGAAAACAAAGCCAGTCTGAAAAAGATAAACATTCTCTTCCTCCTCATTTGTGGTCCTTAGATTTTACACAGGCACCAAAATCATGTCTGTGTGTCTGGCATAAAAGGAAAAATGAAACCGTCAAGAGGAACACAAGGGTGAGAATGGGGAGGGAAGCCTGCTCTATACACTGCACACTAAAATGTCCTTCTATAAACAATACCACATACATATGGAATTAAACACAAGAAAAATGAATCCAGGCCTTTTGACTAGAGCACTTATGTTTCTCTGAAGCTGTATTAAGAGGATTCATGCAAGATCAAATAAACTGGCAATGAAAATTGTATAAAACTTGGCTTTAATTGTTATTTTTTAAAGATTTTTTATTTTATGCATATGCGTGTTTTTGCCTGCATGTATGCAAGCACCCTCCAAAGAGGGCAGCAGATAACCAAGAAATGCAGTCACAGGCCGTTGTAAGTGCCACGTAGCGATGGACAACCAAGCTCGGGTCCTCTGCAAAAACCACCAGTGTTCTTAACCATCGAGCCATCTCTCCAGCTCCTTTAAAGATTATTTTTACAGTCTTTTTTTTTAAAAAACTTACAAAAATAATCTAATTCTAGAAAGAGAGTAATATAGAGACAGTTATCTTTCTTTTTTTACTATGAGAAATTTTTCTGTGCCTCCCTTCAAGTTGTTAAAGTGTTCGGCACACCCATCTTACAGAAGGTAACTGAACTCAAGTCTCAGAATGTGTTGTGAGCAAGTGAAAACGCAGTAGCCTTTCCCAGCCTCACTTTTCTCGTCTATGGAATGGCATAATAACAGTGCGATGATGTCAGGTTGTTCTGGGGGAAACTAATGGGATATGTTAAATTGAGTCTATATGAAATCCAAATCAAATGTTTTAAGAGTCAAGAAAGGTAAGTTGATTAAAAATGAGGTAGACTTCCCCAAAAAATAAAGTTATCATTATTTTTTCTTTTTTACTTTAAAGAACCCCTCTGCTGTGTGAGGAGAAAAGATGTAAACGGGGCATGTGTAGACTCTGGAGAAATGAGTTAGGAAGCTATGATGGGTTCTAAATGAGACATGATGGTGGGCACAGCTTCTGGCCCAGACGTCAATTGCTATGTAAGGATGACCCCACACAAGTAAAGACACTTAAGTGCATTTCATACACTCCATTTAAAACTTTAGAAAAATGTGTGATAGGTTTTCACAAGACTTTTGTAGCAATTTATATGCTAGGGAAGAAATTATGCTTAACTACTTGGAAAATAAGTCTACAATCAATATTCAAAGGGATCAATTTCTAAAGAAGCCATTTTCAATTAAAACTCGGAGAGTAACACAAGGCCTAGTGTTTCCACTTACAGTCAAAGCATTTAAGAATGCAAATGATGGAGTACTGCAATATATAACTGTTCTGAACACTGTCCCTTAAAGCACTGAGGCAGACAGCTATCAGTAGTTCAGCTTTTGACACCCACTGAAGGAATCAATACATTCCACCCGATGACCTTCAAACAAATGTAGGTCTCATATTTCTGCCACAGCGAATATAGATCTGAAGAATGGAAGCAATGCTGTTTTACCTATGGGATATTCGGGTTTTAATCAAGAGGTTTGCAATGACAGCTTGTAATGAGGCAGCTGGTGTTACCACACAGCCATATGGAGCTATCACAGCGCTGCTGCAAATGGTATCAATTAACGAGTTCATTTTCAAAACTTGCATTTAAGTGAATTTCATCACCGAGGCCTGGAAAATGAACCCAGAGGTTTAGTGGGGAGGGAGACAGGAGGGCAGAAAGTAGGCAATACAAACAGATTCTATTTTTACACCAGAAAAATAATAAGTGAAGCTATCCAGATCTACAAATCTACAGTTACAAATCTAACGAATACAGGTACTTTGATGCAGTGTAAGCTACGAAAAGGTTTTGATCACATCTTGAGTGAACTAAGGCTAGGTTTAAAAACTGGCAAATTATAGCCCTAGTTGTATTGGATACCACAAAAGCACACTTTAAGAATTCACCAGACTGGAGTGTGGCTCACTTAGTACAGTGCTTGCCTATTATCCCAGGAGGTACAGGCAGAGGGGTGAGGAATTCAAGGTCATGTGTGGGCTACAGAATGACTCTGAGGGCAATCTGAGCTATACTAAAAAGCAAAACAAACATGGGATAAGGGAGGGAGGGTAAATAACTTAGTATAACTCAACTTTAAGCCTAATTTAATTACTAAAATTAAAGCTTAAGTACAGAATCTAACATTTTGAAAGTTTGGAGACTTCTTAGTTAAAGGGTCCACAAATGGTTGAGAGCGTATATGAATGCTGGGTCAGCAAAGTAAGAAATGCAGTCCTGTCATGTAACGGTTTCCTCTTCCATGCTGGAGGGAAGCTTGTGAGACAAGGATGCCAAGGTGAGGTGCACAGCAGGGTGTTCTAAGGGGAGAGGGGTGCACAGCAGGAGGTTGTAAAGGGGAAGCTCCTTAAGACAAAGTTGTTAAAGGGAGGTGAAATATTTAAGGAGCAGGGAAGCTCCTTAAACTCTGGAAGTAAACAATTCAATAGCTTCAGGAAGTCCCTGAAACCGACCAGATTCATTAGGCACCATCCTCTCTAAGCAGATATATGCTGTTAACAGAAACTCTCAGAGAAGCTGAGATTCCTAGAAAAGGCAGAGAAGCCAAGCTGACAGGCAGAGGTAAAGACCAGCCAGGGTACCTAAAAAAGGCCCAGACCAAATGAGGCACCTGGAAAGGACACACTCTACATCCCGAGCTAAATGCAGGCTGTGCAGTATGCGCTGGAGTTCCAGCTTTTGTGAGCTGTCACCCATGCTGAGGTGGGCTCTGGTGATGCACCTGTCTTTGAGTCATTCCCACCCCTGTAAAGCAACCCCAGGAAAGCCCACTGATTCACCAAGTTAGACTGGTGGAACCTATACATTGGTCTGCTGTTGGTTCCCTAGCTTGGGTGAATATATGCTTGTTCACCTCTTCCCAGAAACAGTGCCATACAAGTCCTCATGGGGCAGGGCCTTCAAGGCTGGTGCTGAGAAGAAAGGGCCTGTCATGATCAAACTTAAGAAACTTTGCTGTTGCTTACTAATTTTTCTTATGACGAACATTTCAAAATTTATAAGAATAAGCTGTTTCAAAAATAAGGGCAATATTTCCAACTAGATGTGGAAGATTCACGGTAGGCCCATCTCTAGCACAAGATGTTCCTTCAGACAATGGAGGCCGGTTGAGTGAGTACCCTGGATCCAGTTTTCCTTACATAAGCCATGGAGTATGAGTTAGATCATCCAACCTCACCAGTGCCTCAAAGTTTAACATTTCCTGTCTAGAATCACCTCGGCTGACGTTTTTCCAAATCTAGGACAAGGCATAGAACACGACTAGGCTATCAGGCTTTTAAGGACTCAAACAGCCCAGGTTCAAATCTCAGTTACATTCCAACAAAAACTTATCCAGGCTGCTCAGCGTCTCTATGCTGTGTTCATTAACAGGGTACAGTAGGACCTGCTGTAGGGCTCAAAGGAGCCAAGGTGCTCAGTGAACTTGGTGATGTGCCTGCAATGCCTTAAGGGTTCCACAAAGGCTCATATTATTTGTCATTTTAATCATTGATAAGACAATTTTCCTATGAACACTTAGAAAGAAATTAAGCAATTACATAGCCAACATTGTAAAAGTCATCTTTTGACAACCAAATAAAAATATGAATATAAAATTTAGTGCAGTAGCTGATAATGACTCAACAAATGCAGTGTTCTTTGTGGGGAGACTCAGGGTAGAATGACAGCCCACCGCAGTGCACACAAGCATTCAGTGACCAATGACAAATGCAGTATCTTTGTGGGGAGACTCGGGGTAAGATCACAGTCCACCGCAGTGTACACGACACTCAGTGACAAATGACAAATGCAGTGCCTTTGTGGAGAGACTCGGGGTAGAATCACAGCCCACCACAGTGTACACGAGCACTCAGTGGTGAACTAGTTCAAGAGGCGGACAGGCCTCCAATGCCCATTCTTAGACGTGTGTCCCAGGTTAGGGAGTCACATTCAAATTAGTGCCTGTGAATGTGGGCCCAGTAGGCTGATTCTGCCCTACACGTTTCCTGTGGCTGCACAGAGCTGTCAGTTCTGCTCACATGAAAGGCTCTAGCGTGCATACTTCTTTGGTGCACCAGAGTTTGTGGCATGCTTCTCCCAACTGTAGCAACTTCACCTTTCTGGGTGATCTATCTAATCACTGCAGGCCTCTTGAGCCTGTGATTCCTGCTTTCCTTATTTCAAACCCGTGTCAGATGGACTCGCTCAGCACTCCTGTTAACTATCCAGTAGGAGCTTCCGTACCAAGGAAGCGAGCAAGATAATGGTCACATTTCTCTAAATCTCTTGTAATTCCAATCCACATGTAAACCATGGTTCTACCATGCAAAATATGAAGCCTGGGAGGCAGATCAACTACTATCAAGTGGCAGCCACAATATACCAAACTTTCTTCATGGAGGATGGAAAGGTCGCTGGTTCATCTCTACAGCTATGGCCAAAGCCCCAGATCTAACCCAGTTCAGGGATTGGCAAATTAAATCAAGGACTATAGGTCAACTCTACCCTGCTCCATAGACAAATTCTCTAAGTTCAGCTATGACTACTTATGTATTTTCTATGGTAGCTTTTGCAGTGTTGTGACAGACGTAATAAATTCTTTTATTTTTTTTTCTTCAAACCAAAATCTCACCAATCTTGGTTTCTGAACCTAGACCGGGAGTGGTGGATGCAGTATGGCACGCATCTCCCTTGGACTATTTCTCCTTCTCTAGAACCTATCTCAGCTCTTTGGTGCTTTTATAAATCTTGTAAAGTTGCTTAATACCATGTAACAAATCTCTTTTTGTTGAATTATGGAGAGTGACTTTCACTGCTACAACAAAAAGCACCAAGCAAAACACAGAGCAACAACCACACACATCAATCTGCAAATTTACATAATGTACTTACATTATGTGTCATCTCGAAGTACTTCTGACAGGCTACCTGGTAATGAGTCCCCTTTACTAAATCCAAAATCTAAAATGAATGGGAAAAGGAAGAAAGAAAAAATACAAGATAAGTTTCTTCTCAGCCACTGTGATCACAGTTGTTGACTTTCTCATAATCCATTCGAAAAGAAAACTCAATATATAAATCATGCAGCATGCTGTGCTTCTACAGTCAGGGTACTGCAATGGTGTTGCGAGTATCCAGGAATGGTTTAGCTCAGCAGTAAAACACAGATGGCCAGTGATAGCAAGTGATCTTTCTGACCTGGCACCCTGGATTTTAATAACATTACTTTGACAGCAAGATGGGAGCAGCAGATCCTGGTATTCTGACTTTGATGGTACTGCCGGCATATCATGTTGCAGATCTTTGTAAAACCGTGTACCTATAAATCTACTAATCTAATAGCAGAGGCATGAAGCAATAAAAGACATTCTTTAGACTTACTTACACACTACCTGTTTATACAGATGCAACACTAAACACTGTTATGAACACATCAGGAAAAAATGAGCCAAAACCCTCTGGACCAGCATAGAGAGGCAACAACTTACCTGCAATCAGATTGTCTTTTCCATAATATAGTTACTTCTAGTAAAACTCAGCATATTGCAGAGTGAATAGCCTATTCTGAGCATCTATTAGGGACGCCATCCTATCTTTTGTAAATACAATTTTCCTTCCAACTGTAGCTCATGTAATCTTTTCAGAAAGGCATAAGCACCCATCCTTATCAGCAGAGCACAATGGCAGCTGAAACTTACAAAGTGTCACTGCCTTCCACCACTTCCAAATAAATAAAACACATATTTGACCCATTTATCAAGCACAGAAAAATGTTGGAATTAAGAGATAACCACAAATGAAAGAAAGTGGAATTCTAGAAAATTGTTAATTTGTACCGCCTTTCAAAATGCTAACCTTCCTGTCATCAAAGAAATGAACAGTCTTGAATTCTTGTTATCCCCACCAAGGAATACTGCTTTACAGTGTTGACAGAACATAAGAAAATTACAACTGCAGAAGGGGCATTGGGCACCAGCAAAAATCTGCTAAGGGACTGCTTTCCTCTGGTTGTTGTATATACAAATTTCATACCACTTTCAATTAACTTTAAAAGATTTGTGTAGATATCAACCTGTCACAGAACCCAGGATTCCATCTACCTCTATGACCCATTTTTTCCTCAATTAGAAAAAATGAAAAATAAATTCATTAAAAATAAATGACAATACATACATGAAGTCACAAAATTTTGTAAGTAATGCCAACACTTTGAGCTTACACCCCAGTGCTTGTCCACACAGTCACTAAAGCTGTGCAGTGATGAACTTGAAGCTAATTACTGGATAGCAAACACAACAGATTGACACATATGAACTGTCATTTCTAAGGAGACTTCAAACACAGATTCAAGATCTGATCCCATAAATTAACTGAAGACAAAATAAATTCAGAGAAGTAAAGCTGAACTGTGTGATATATTTATGTTCCTTTTATGTAAAATCAAAACAAGGGAATGGTGCTGGTCACAACTGGCTTGGTCTTCTGATATCAACTAACAATCGTGATAACCCCATACACGTGCCCCACAGACCAGCCTGATCCAGATAAACCTACTTTAAGACGCTCCCTAGGCAAGCCTAGGATATGTCACGATGTCAGTTAAACCACACAGCAGAAGTGACTAGATACATGTAGAAAAGTGCGCTGACAAGTAAGACTCAGAATATGAGAAATGCAGACTTAACTGAAAATGCTGGCGGTTTAAGAACATAGCTGTTTCTACCACCATCCTATGGAGGCAGCTCCTTTTTAACAAAAATATTTTGTTTTGAAATCACTCAGCCGTCTATTTTAAAGAATCTTACTAGTCATACTGCAGCATGTTTGAGATAACACATGTATAATTGTGAAGGGATGATGAAAACAAGCAATAGTGGGTTTTCTTTTTGTTTTCTGGCAAGAAAAACCGACAAATTTAGAATGAAAGAGATGAAGCAGAGGAGGTTAAAGGAGAATACATGGGGGTGAGGGAGTTGAGCCATGGAGAACCCCGAGAGACAGAGAGCGTGCTCTGCTCTGAGGCAGCTGGGGAGCAGTGTCAGACACTGTCTTCACATCAGACAAGAAGGGCATCCTGTTAAAATAAAGCTGCCTGAAGGTCTCATTAGGGACAGGATCAATTTTAAAAAGAATTAAGAAATCATGTGCAGCTTAATCTAGCGTTCCATAGAAAAACATAGAAACAACTTGTATGTTTTTAAATTAAAAAGAAAATGTCAACTGACCGAAGAGCACAACCACTAAGAGTCCAGATTATGATCTATATTGTAGGAATGCAGAAAGGCAGGCGCTCTCTCAGCCCAAGGTGAACTAACTCACTCATGCCAGACTCACAACTGTGAAGGGCAGACTAGGATCAGCAGACTGCAGACTCCACCAGGGTAAGAACAGAGGAGTAGTGGGAAGTACTCAGACTTGGAGATTAAGCGTTTCCTAAGAGTCAGACACTGTTTCTTACAGTAGGCACTTTCCGTGAAAATAACCGATCAGAGTCAATTCTGAGGCTTCTAGACAATGCACTACTCACCCTCAATTCCCCGGACCACTCCGAAATATCATGAACTAGGTTTTTAAAAAGAATTTTTCTAATGGAATGGTATGAACTCTTCAACAACCGGGTTCAAGGCACATATAAGGTCTTTCCACTTTCATTTACTAATTGTACAAACTAAAGGGTTTCATTACGTCACTTGATACATATATGTGCTGTACTTGGTCTTCTTCAGTCCTTTAATATCCTATCCTGCTCCTGACTCCCGCTGCTCCTCCCCTAACTCTAAACCCACCTCCTACTTCCATGTATCATCTGCACTGTGCTCTCTTTTCTTTAATTATGACTGCTTTATGTATACATGCCTTTAAATCTACCAACACAATCTGCTCAGTCCATTTACTGTTGCTTATATGTATATGCTCTTAGGGATGACACATGGCATTGGATAAACCAATTAGGGAGGCCCACTTTGGGGGAGACTGATTCTCCCTCTTTCAGCAATCATTAACTGCCTGCAGCCTTTCATCTAGGGGTGGGGACCTATGAGATCTCCTCCATCAACACTGGCATGTCAACTAGTGTTGACACTGTTCAGGCCTTGTTTAGGCAGCCATACTATTAAGGTTTCATGAGTGCAGCTTCCCTGTCCTATACAAATGACACAGCTTCTCAGCTGACTTTCTGGTCCCAAGGCTCTGACGATCTTTCCACTCCCTCTTAAAGAAAGTGGACATGACTCCCCCCCCCCATGGTTCAGTTGTTTCTCATATACTGACATTTATTTCTTATATAAAATAAATACAAAATACCCCCAATACCATATATCAGTCACTAAACACAGCTACCTGAGTGGTTTTTGAACAATAGTACAGTTATAGGGCTATAATGCTAACATTGTGTATGTGGACCCATCTGCTGACTTCAAAAATTTTACAAGTGGTTCTGAAGTGTTAGCATTTGTCTGTGTAGTGCAACTTGGTGTAGGTTTGCTCTTAATTTTGTGGAATTGCCTGATACAAACATTAAACATTGTATTAAGATAAGATGGGCACTGAAACAACCTGCTTTTGGGAAGAATGACTCCAAGGCAGGAAATATAAAGTTAGAAATACAAGGAAAATCAAGATATGCCCCAAGTATTCTAATTTGTATTAAAAAGCACAATAAGTTCAGTAAATACCAGAATCCAAGAAAGGCTGGGAGACACCCAAGACAGATTTGAAGGAACAGAGTTCGGGCCAGAATCAAAGTGTTCCAAATGGTAAAGCAGAGTAAAGGACGGGGCAGCAACTTAACAGTGCTGTTTCTCCAGCATCGAGTCTGAAGACCACGAAGAGATCACTCCCTATATTAGTTCACTTTATGCTCCCATAACAAATACTCAGATTTGGGTACTTGACTTAATAAAGGGTTATTAGCTCACAATTTGGAAGGATGAAAGTCCAAGATAATGAAGTCCCATCAGCTGGTTTCTCTTAAGGATGACAGAAGTGAAAGGAAGCTACCATAAGACAAGAAAGGAAGCCAGAAAGACTCAAAAGCCCGCAGCTCAGTGCCACGGGGTTCTAAGAACTGCTAGTCCTTTCCGAGAGGAGGCCTAAGCTACACTCCACGGTGCTCATCACAGTGAGGCTAAGCTTGTGCAAACACTGAAAGTGTACACAAACGTGTGCTTTCAAGGACAGCAGCAGAGAGGGACCTAGAGGAAGGATAAGAAGTCACACAAAGGCAGGAACTGGGGTCAAGAAGACAGTGAGGAGGAGCCAGTGAGAAGAGTGAGCCGGGTGGGGAAATGAGGAAAGAGCCCATGGAGTCTGCGGTCTGCTGCAGCCTGCAGAGGGTCCTAAACTCTTCAGTCTCCCTGCTCCATTCTGAATGAGCCCAGCAAACCTACTTCCTCTTCCAGACAGCACTATTTCCAAAGGGCAGCACCCCTGAGGCCAGAGGGAAAGAAGGCACAGGCAACTCTGATGCCTGCCTAACAAATTTTCTAATCATGCTCCAGGAAAAAAAAAAATCAAACTAAACAATCACATCAATTTTGAAAACATAAAATTATCAAAGAAAATATTGCATGAAGATCTAAGAATATTTCGGAAACAGTAGTAAAATTAGTTTTTCATACCAATATTTAGAGTAAAATTGAGATGCAGGAGCATCATTATGGCAGCTTGGCTCTTAAGAGCACTGAAGGACTATGTAATGTCATGTATAGTCCTTGATTTTCCCCTCGGATTTTAGTCATTCTCTATTAGGTACTAAGATCCACCAAGAAGAATTCTAAACTTATAAAAATAAAATAATTCATCTTTTCATCTTCACAGAAAGTTTATCAATTTGTATTTACTATGTTTAGCAAAGGAAATTAATTATACTTTAGCCTCGAGACAAGTTACTGGTTATTTCCCTAAGAGAATTACTATTCCCTTCTCTTTTTATCATTATCCTTTTATTTAAATTTCTTTTA